TTTTTTTACGGTTATCAAAATGTTAATATTTTTCTATAATATATATTATTGATTTTAAAATCAAACGGTTAAGCAGATATCGAATGAAAACTTATTATTAATTATTTTATTTCTATGAAAATTCGATAGAAAATAATAAAACAAGATTAGAAATATTTTCGTATTCAAATTATATTGCAATTTAAAAGAATAATTATAGGAAAATAATATCCATATCAAAAATTCATAGTAATTAGCAGGATTATGAATATTTTCTTATGCAAATTATATCACAAGTTAAAAATACAATTATCTACCAATGAATCACGATAAACAATATATCATCATTAATAATTTTCCTCGATAAAAAATAAATTGCAAATTACAAGCATAATTAAAAAATAATACTTATCTTAAAATAATATACATATATATATATATGTATATAATGTATTAATAGACAGGATTATGAATATTTATCGTATCAAAATTATATCGTAAGTTATAACACAAACACTGAGAAGAAAATAAATACGTACGTATCTAAAATTAAAATGTATTATTCATCAGACGTGATTATTATCATGATTGTTTTAAATAAATCAAATCTTTTGACAAAAGATATTGTTTATCGATAGAAGATGGTCGTCAAGTCAACTATTGGAAGGATTATAGTTAGAAGGTATCTAAAACAAACGATTTCGATTGGCAAGCTTTCGAGAAAGAGAAATCCTCTGATCCGTTCGTGTTTTAGGAGAAAATCAAGGCATGACCTTGCAACAAGATTGCTTTAGCTCTGGAGCTAAATATAGTTAGCTTAATGGAATTGAGATAAATTCAACGAGTTGGCAAACATCATTGAATTCGAATCGTCCACGTGGCGGGGCATAGGCTGATCATTGATTTCATACTTCATAGGTAATAGATAAGGACATTATAAGTGTCCAAAATATTACTACTAGGATTAGGGATAAACTCTAAGAGATACATAATACATATTAAACTTTTTCATTTCTTAGATATAGGATGCTAATAATATGTAAAGTAAGTGGATACATCAATATTTTCATACGTAACTAATGAAATCATTCTAATATTAGAAATTCAACGCGTTCGTCAACATTCAACGAGCCATCTTGTTAAAGAGAAATAAATTCAAGTGTTGTAATAAAAATTGGATGTAAGTAAGGACAAAAAAAAAGACATACCATTTATTATTTTGCATTTAAGTATCGACGTTTCTACTTCAAAAATGTTCTGTAATATAATTTAAAGAATAATATTGTTTTTTTTTTTTTATCGGCTTTGCGAGTAATACCGTTCGAGTTTATCTCGTTGATCGTACAATTCAAATTAACGAGATTCGTATATATATATATATATATGTTTGTGTGTGTGTGTATGTAAGAGAGGATGTTACGCTTGTTATCTCTGTTACGCGTAAATTTGTTAAATTCTCTCTTAATATATTCCGATTTATCTTGTAAACAGGAGATAGAAAGATAGAGAAGATGGATAAATAGATAGAAATAAAGAGATAGAAGGAGTGCGAAAAGAGAGAAGTTGTGCGTTTGTAATATTTGCACCAAGTGGCAAAGGATGTTTCAGTAAATAATTTAATGTATAAAACGTATAAACACGTTTGTGTGTGTGCAAATGGTTTATTAATACGGTCCAGTAATTTTCTTTCCTTTGATCTCTTTCTGTGTGTCTCTCTCTCTCTCTCTCTCTCTCTCTATTTCTTATATTCAATAGCTCATTAACGTGTTTCAAGATGGAAATATATTCACACATGCATATACTCGTTATCTAATTATTGTTTCAATCTAGATACATGATATTTCATTGAATTATTATTATTATTATTTTTTTTCGTTTCAGTTTTCAGCCCAGGGAGATTATGACAGGAACATACCGAAGATCGGTGAGTACAGGTAGAGTGCAATATTTTCTTTTCTTTTTTCCTCCCCCCCTTTTTTTTCCACGTTTTTCCCATGTCGTCATGCAAATAAGCTTTTCATTTTTTTTTTTTTTTTTTTTTAATCATATATCTTTTCATTTAATATACACGTTTTTCTAGTCTTCCACCATTCCATATATATGGTACTTAAAGTTCATCGTAGTTTTTTTTGTTTTTTCAGTTATAGCCAACTTATTCTCGTAAAATCATAAATACATAGTCTATGTATTATACATACACAAATAGCTATAGCTATATATATATATATATATATATATATATATATATATATATATATATATTAGTATATTAAAAATAAGCTTTTACAATTTTGTTATCTTACATCTTTTCATTATACACGTCTTACCAACGTTTCATGTTATACTCAAAGTTAATCGTAGTTTTGGTGATAGCTAGTCTAATTTCATAAACTTACAAATACATATATATATATATATTTGTATAGAATATAGATACGTGTATGTATATATGTATAGGATTATAAACGAACATTGCAGTGCAAGGTATTAAACCGCTAACCTATAGATTAACAAATATTAGTTCATTATCCGAGTTATTTGGTCTTCATAAATTTGATGCCCTCGTTCGACCGACTATAACAAGAGAAATAAGTGTATTCCAGGTAATTAGAGAGGATCAAAGAGAAAGAGAGAGAGAGAGAGTGAGCGGATAGAAGGTTGTATAGTAGAAAGCTCGTAAGAGAGCGATTTAAACGTCTCAAATGAATTTTAGTTAGGTGTATAGATATACTTATAGTAATCATGTTAATCGTTTTTGGATAATCTATGGTAGGATCTAATGTTAGTTAAGGTAAGAAATTTTGAAAAAAAATAGAATAAATTTGCCATAGTATAAAACGGAAATGTTCTCTAATCTCTCTCTTTCATGTTTTCGTGTTAAAGTTGTCGATCAAGATGAAGGATCGCGTTCTGGTTGCTTCTCGAAAAGCATCGAATATCCCGTGTGCCGTCTTACGATAATATTTATGGGGACGGTATCGAGCCCTCTGAATTACCTCGAAGATAGGAAAAATTCAAGAAGATACGGACGAGTTCTCCTTTTCGAAAAGAATTCAGTGCATTCGATAAAAAGTGAGAAGGAAAGTAGAGATATATTGGTAAAAGAGACAGACAGACAGAGAGTGAGAGAGAGAGAGAGAGAGAAAGAAAAAAGAAAAAAAAAGGAAATGTTTCGTTTATCGCGTTTTGCGAAAAATGTGAAAACTCGTATAGCTTTTGAAATTCCCTACGGTTAAACCCTTTTTCGTGTTACTTCGGCAGATATTTATCGAGTTGCAAAATCGAGACACGAATTTTCCATCATTTTTTCCTTCTTGAATTATAAACACGAGCAGGATAAAATGTTTTCGATCGTTTGGAAAATACTAAATTTAAATAATACGATACATTTGACTCTTTTTTTCTTTTCTTTTTTTTCTTAAATTTCCATTCGAGTGTTTAGAAATTTTTTTGTTGGTTTGCAAGTAATATATTTTTTTTAAACTTACGTTAAAAATTGCCAGATTAAATTAATCGCATGTCGAATAGAGAGTGCGACACTTTTGTTTATATTATATTTTTAATACGTTAATATTAAATTTTGATTGTTGTTACTACATTTGTAAAATAAAATCAGCTGAGATCGGAATATCATCAAACGAATTCTCTAATCTGAGATTACAGATGAATAGTCAGAATCGAACAACACACTCTCGTTATTCTTGCACGATTTCTTTTATGACATTTCACACATATTCTGACATCTCGTTAAGAAACAACGACTAAACCATACGAAGTGGAATAATCGATCGATATTATGTATCGAACAAATTGATCGCAATTGTTAATGCTTCAAATGATATTTTTCTTTTTGTTGTTGTTGTTGTAAGACGTTATTACATTGTTAAATGCAAAATATGTATTATGCTGGTAATTATGGCAAAGGATTGAATTAAACAATAGTAACAAATTCATTTGATATTAAACAAATTATTTATGTTATCAAATAATCATGAAATAAAATCAACGATTTTTTAAATATACGTTTACGTGAATGGATTGACAAATTTTGTGTGAGCTTCCTTATATAGAAAATATTTTGTTCAAATGTGAACTAGCTTTTATTTATTTGTTGTTTTCTCTTTCCAGTTTTAATTCAAAACTTTTCTATTCATTCTCGAGTAAAATATTATAATATATATATAAATGACTTTGTTACATTATTATTATTATTATTATTATTAAACTTGGAAGTTCATTGCCGCAAATAGCAAATCCCATCATTGTTCCCGTTTCTGAACGCGATCCTTCCATTCGTGATTTTCGTATCCTATTACTTTTAAGTCCTTTCTAATATTATCCTCGACTTTGACATATAATAAAATAAATTCTAAGACAAATTTGCAAACCTTTTTTTTCTTATACATATTATATGTATATAAATTAATTTCTAACTTTTCTTTGATAGAGGGTCATTCACAACTTGGGTTGATCAAGAGAACGTTCGTTCGATTCTGTTGTTAGAAAATCGCGTTCGTTTTAGCTGCCAATCTTGTTGGAGAACAAGTCCCTTGTCGAAGATCGAGAGAACGATTCAATAGGTAGACGTTTATCGTCAGGATGAAGTGTGTAAGAGAAAGAAAAAAAAAAAAAAAGAAAAAAAAAGAGAATGGTAGAGAAAGAATAAAAAAGAGAAATGAAGAAAATCGAATAGGACACGCAGTAAATCTAACGACCAATCAAACGGATGGAAAGTCAACGTGATATAAGGATGTTAAAAATTTACTACACAAGTCTTACATACACACACACACACACATACATCTGTGTGATTATGTGTATACTCGTGTGATACTATAGAAAGTTACGATATATGTGTAAAATCGTTCACTAAATTCGATTAACTTTCGAACGTTTCTTTCTCTACTTTTTAGTATCCCGTTGACGTTAATTCTTTTTTCCTTTTTTTTTTTTTTTATTTCTGGTTAAACACAAAAAGAGGGACAAAGTAATGCCGAAGTTAAAAAAAAGTTAAAAAAAAAGAAAAAAAATAGGAAGTTTGATCGTAAACAAAATTGTTTCAGAATTAAGCTCGTAACTAATTTTGAACTCGTTCGAGTATATGATATATTATTTATTTATTTTGTTCTTTCGTTTATCTTGATTTTTCGTGAAAAGTGGATCAAGTAGGGGACGAACGATGAAATTTCTTTTATTTCAAATCCATTCAGAGAAATGTTCACTTAGCGTATTTGCAGTTTCATACTAATGATATATCGAGTTCCATGAGCAGTCGTCACTGTAATTACGAATTCCCGAAAATTTCGTGATATTTAGTACGATCTAAATGAACTTCAATATTTGCTTCTCTCTCTCTCTCTCTCTCTCTCTCTCTCTCTCGTGCATTTTTTTTATGTATTTTTTATTTCTCGTTTTAAAGGTGGATGGGTGTAGGTGGCTGAATTGGTAGATAGAAAACAGTGCAATCAAGATTAATATTTCGTTCGAATAAAATATCGATATTTATTTCTATATTATGGTACATATATATATATGTATAATTGTTGTGATTAATCTCCAGAGATTTGTTGTGTTTATAAATAATTCTGATTGTTTTTTTTTTTTTTTTCATTCATATCGTTACTTTGAAATCTATACAATTGGACGAATCTTTCGTGATAAGTGGGTTAAACAAGTTATACTGTTCAATTAATATTATTTAACGTTCGAGTACCATTCGTTCATTCCGTTTGTTTGGAAAGTTCATGCTTAAAGTGATTTATTTTCCTAGGAAACACTCGAACGTGCACAAATGAGGAAATAAAATCTCGTTTTCTCTTCTGACAGGATTGTTTCGTAGAATTCTATAACTATATATATATATATAAACAATTTAATTCTCTTAGTCGTCGTAAATCGAGCCATCAACAGATTCTTTTTCTTTAATTGTAAAATTCGCAAGAAATGAATAAAATCTTGTAAGTATTCGTTCGAGATGAAATATCATTCGTTCTAAAATAATTTCTCAATAACGATTTATAATGATTGGATATTTCTTACGAAAGTAACACATTTCACTTATATTTATTATTACTTATTTCTATTTTTAAAAAACAAAGAAAAAATTTACATCGTAATTACATGTTTTTTTTTTTTTTTGTACCATGAAAATTTAATTTCTTTGATTTATTTGTTCTCGAGCAAATAACAAGACGTAACTGTACTCAAACAAAAAACGTTCAAATAAAAATCTAATTTATAAAAATTACACACTTAGGTACCTCTTACTTTTGTGAGAATCTAATTTATTAATTTATTTTTCTATTTTCTTTTTAGATAAAACTAATAAAAATAAAAACAGAAAACAAAAAAACCTTAAATATTAATTAAAATCAAATATTAATTAAAATTACATACTTAGGTATCTCTACTTTTGTGAGAATCTAATTTATTAATTTATTTTTCTATTTTCTTTTTAGATAAAACTAATAAAAATAAAAACAGAAAACAAAAAAACCTCAAAATATTAATTAAAATTCTTAATTATTATTATAAATATTAATTAAAATTACATACTTAGGTACCCCTACTTTTGTGACAATCTAATTTATTAATTTATTTTTCTATTTTCTTTTTAGATAAAACTAATAAAAACAAAAACAGAAAACAAAAAAGACCTTAAATATTAGATACTTTTGTGAGAAAATAGTCAATCGTAAAAGTTACTTAATAGTGTAACCAGATATTTCGATTGTAAAAAATCGTCTCTATACTAAAAGTTCCTATACCTATGACTTGCAGAGGGTATCTGATTTCTAATGATCAGAAGATGTTACATCCTTTTTCTTCCATTTTCTCATTTTTCATCTATTCACGTAGACTACTATTTTCTTTTTATTTCTTTTTTGCTTTTCCTTTTACTTCTCCTTCTCCTTTTCCTTCTTCTTCCTTCTTC